CATCGGCTGGATGTGACCATTATCTGGCGGTATTTAGCGTGTCAGGTGTTGTGATATCGGCCGTTGGGTGTATGACTATCTGTAAATTCAGTAACTAACACACAAAATGACAGGTTTACTCCAATTACACCGTCTCCTGGGACAGTTTTGCACTTGCAGAACTTGACAGAAGTTGCTAAATATTGTTCTGCATTCGTGTTTGCATGGTTTTCTGTGGTCTGCAGCACACAGCCTTGTTTATACATTATGATAAAGAGAATCGAAACAATTTTTAAGTTCATAATAGGTAATTCATTCAGAGCAGGTATTAAAAAACAGATATGAAATTCGTAGTCACACGAATGTGAGCCATTGTTGAGGGTTGTCGGTGATCATGGAGGAGATGATATCTTCACTGATTCCTCTGTCCTTCATCTTTGGCACCACATTCTCCAGCAGATGACCATATCCGTGACCTCCATAGGCCACCTGGGACAAGAAAAACCTAATCTCAACATTCTGAGTCTATTGAAGCAAGATCTCCTACCAGTCTGTGTTTGGTATGGATGTCATGAGAGAGCATTACTTTGTGACTGAATCCTGCCTCAACTAGCTTCTTGACCCACTGCACTCGCTGAGCGTCACTCGGCATGGTCACCTCCTTACTATACTGTAAATCAGAAGAACATTTGTCTGCTTAACAGCACCAGGAAAGCGAGGAACTAAGGCATAGTTAGTGACTGAGAAACAAGACTAGTGCACAAATCACTGAGTTATTTACCGCTAGCTGTCATGCACCCCACACCTGTTTATCTAAGCCAGAGATATATAATATAATATAAACATCATACAACCTAGGTTGCTGTACATAATATTGATATAAACTCCAGGCGTAAAATCAGATCACCTGATAGTGGGAGGTCTCAATTCCAAAGAGGTTGTACTCGAGGTAGCATCCTCTCCTGGCCAGAGTCAGGAGGGCCTCCTCGCTGAAGACTGTTCTGTCCAGGTGAGACATGACAGTCCGAGACAGGTCCGCTCCTGCCCCCTCCAACACATCCAGGATGGCACTTGGAGATTCCTGGTCTCTCCCAGGGTGGATAATGAGGGGTGCCCCTGTATAAGGAATACAACAATGTAATTAGTGTATATACCTAACTAAAATTTGCACATAATAATGATAATATGGCAGCTGTGACTCAAAACAGATATAGTAAATCGCATGAGTAGTAAGTTCTTCTGAATATCATTGGCCATTGCTCATGTTGGCCTACTCTGCCAAATTGCATGCAGGAACTTGTCCTTTGGGGCGAAAGCGGAAAACTATGCCTCCAGTGTTGTGAGCTCTTTCATAATGACCTAGTAGCTACTAGCTATCTGTCACCAAAGCAGGCCTTGCATGGACTGTACATTATATAAAAGCAAGGTGGCTGGACATAATACCCGTAATCTCTATTGCTATATAATACCAGTGATCTGCTGGGCCTTGGCAGAGGCTTGCAGAGACCTCTTCTCAAAGTCAGTCATGGGGTAGGACACGCCCACCTCTCCAATCACCCCACACCTCACTCCAGTCCCCTCCACACCCTCACTCACCTCCCTCACCATCACATCACACAACTGAGAGGAGAGATAAGAGGGACAATGGAATTCTGTCTGTATTTTGTGCTTACAACAGTGAGTAAAACACACAGTGGCCGCCTGTGCACATCATGCCGCGCATGCACACACACAATAGCTAGCAGAGGACCTAAAAAGTTGTAATATACCAGACCCTCCCCTCTTTCTATATTGGTTCTGAGTCTCAAAAGTGATCACCTGACCTCTTGTACTGATAAGAGTTTGGCATCTGGAGCTACAAATGAGTCAACATAGTAGCTGGTCCCAGTGATGATATTGACACCTGACTCCTTGGAGATACGTGGCAGGTGCTCTGGACACTGTAATGGATCGTAAATCACATCGCTAAAATACGCATATACACACACACTGCGCATAAAGAGTGTTCTGAGGCACAGAATTACTATTTGCAGACCCTCTATATACACCATAGGCCACCTCTGAAATGTGATGATCATTTCGCTTACAGGAGGTTACGTAATGGTTTAAAGAGGATCCCTGGGGTTTACCACACAGCTGTCATCATTGTAGATGGTACGTCAGAGACAACTGCAGTTACTGCGGTGTGCACCACATTACACAATTGCAAGGTATGTACGATCTTACTGTTCTCATTCCAATGGAGGTGACGTCAACTATAGTACTGCCGCCAGCTCCTTTAAACAGCTTCAGTTCCTCAATAGTCTGCTCCACGTTCTCAATGGTGAGGTTCTCATGTACACCATAACTGATAGAGCCAGATAAATCAGCGAAGGTAACGTCATGATAATAGTGGCAAGTGTGCAGGCACATTTATATTCCCCTAAAGTCTGGCACCAGTTACATAGCTAGACACCCACATTCTGCCATCCTGGTAATTCAATTGCCTCTAGACTCTAGAGCAGACATCAATCGTGGAACATAGCATTTCTCACAAACAAACACAAGCCTTCGAGCACCATGCAGGACATGACTCTCAATGCAACCTGCACACAGCAGTAGATTGTATAGTGAATGCAGGACTGCATGATTTGTATAAATTATAATTATATAGCATCAATCAAACAGCCATAAATCAATAAACGCATGAGTGTTATGTGGTTATGATTTTCACTAAGGTGTCAAACCAGCCTCAAATAGTGAAATGATCAAACATGAATATTCGCGGCCAAACACTTTGAAGCAAAAATAAACAAAAGGGAAAGGGAATTTTATAGCACGTAGGTTTACTTATGCAACGAAGATTGCCTGCATACGGGAACTGGCGTATCTTGCCGAGGTTTTCTATCTCCAGCTTCAGCCCCGCCAACTCGTCAGCGCTGCAGCCGCCGGAGCTGGAGCCGTATCCCGGACCCATGGTAGCACCCGTGAAGTCCAGCAGAAGATGCTCGTGGGGTAGAGTCACTCCTAGCTGGCCGGGCTCCATCGGACCCAACACTGCATGGTCACGTCTGGTCATAGCTGCGTTTTGTTTGTCTTTGGTGCGTCTTACCTGTCAGAACCCTTCCTTTCAACCCCTCCATTTTATGTACGTCGACCTGGCCGTGGTTTTGCGTAGATGATTAGACGCGCTTCGACGGCGAGTTTCGTGGAGCCACGCCTTTATGGAACGCCTTCTCAATCCGCGCGCGGGAGTTAGATCGACGATTCCTGCATCTCAGACCAATCAGATTGCAGGATTTTCACGTCACGTAAATCGCCCACGCTTTTCGGTTGTCGCGGGGAACGTGATTTGTCTTCTTGCCAATATTCCTTCAAAGTTTGATCATGAGAGTGGATTGGAAATTGCCATCTTATACACAATGAAGGTATAATACTACTGCAAAGGGAGTCACACGAATGTGAGCCATTGTTGAGGGTTGTCGGTGATCATGGAGGTGATGATATCTTCACTGATTCCTCTGTCCTTCATCTTGGGCACCACATTCTCCAGCAGATGACCATATCCGTGACCTCCATAGGCCACCTGAGGACAAGAAAAGCCTAATGTCAGCATTCTGAGTCTACTAAAGTTAGATCACCTACCAGTCTGTGTTTGGTGTGGATGTCATGAGAGAGCATTACTCTGTGACTGAATCCTGCCTCAACTAGCTTCTTGACCCACTGCACTCGCTGAGCATCACTCGGCATGTCCACCTCCTTAGCAAACTGCATAATGATGAGTCATAGGCCATGTTTCTCCCTCTCTTTCTGAATTTAACACTCAAACATTCTTTAGCCTAGCTATATACTATTATAGTTGTGAGATCGGGAGAGAGATGCGTGGATTAAACTGAAGTAACTCGCCCTGGAATGAAAGGCACTCTACTGAAGAAAGCATCAGTGCCAGCACTTACACGCTTATACAAACATTGTTTACAAGGAGAAACCTCCATAAAAGGATACTTCTCTATCTTACTTGATGTCCCTTGCTCAAATACATTATTATGCACAGAAGATTTGATCCTAATGTTTCTTCTGCATATATATGTACCGGATAGTGGGAGGTCTCAATTCCAAAGAGGTCGTACTCGAGGTAGCATCCTCTCCTGGCCAGAGTCAGGAGGGCCTCCTCGCTGAAGACTGTTCTGTCCAGGTGAGACATGACAGTCCGAGACAGGTCCGCCCCTGCCCCCTCCAACACATCCAGGATCGCACTTGGAGATTCCTGGCTTCTCCCAGGGTGGATAATGAGGGGTGCCCCTGCATTAGAAATACAATCAGACCTTACTGAAAGCTGTATACAAAGGTGGTCTTACTAGAAAGATTGTCTCATTAAGGAGGTCTAAATCAATGGTACAAGCATCATTTCCGCACCCTTTGCCACGCCCACTTATGCTCGTCACAAACAAAATACTATAACACACAAATATTATATTATACACAGAAATAGAGACTACAAGGTGGGCTAACTTATACTCAGTATGGAGGCAAAATGCAGTAACGAGAAGACTGCAAATCTTGAAGTCCCCTTATGATATGGTGGAATAAGAAAAGAGGTTCCGCTCAAAGTGAGACACCTGACATAAGCCAAACAGGCAGTTTGAAGTCATAGAGGTCTGCCTACTTTTGTACTGGAGCCTACTAGTAATACAGCCAAATCTCCTGACATTTATCAAGGCTCATAGAATCAACTAGCAGATGGCGCCAAAAGCCAAAGAAACACAGCATTCCAGACCCCCCAAATTTTTTTTGCACTGGGCCCCACTATTTAAACACAATTGAACCAAGAGGTGACAGTCAGGTGCATAGCCTGCAGAACATTATGATAAAGAACTGCGGTATTGTTGTGGTGGTTACAGTAGGGTTTAACTAAGCTTCTTCATGACACAGTGCGCACAAGATTGGTGGGAGAGCTTCTTACGTTTTTGCCTCCATGTTGTTGAGCTAAGCATCTACATTTGCCAGACCTTCGCTCCCTATATAGAGAAATGGGCAGTTTCCTTCTCTTTACCTGAACATGCTCGTCCCTGCACCCTGTTGTCAGGGGAACCTTAGCTACCCCACTGGGAATGTTGATTCAGTAGAGCCCACAGGGCCACCATAAGTGGGCATAAAATAGTGCGGCTGATCATTGGATTAGGTATATTATACATACATACTTGAGATACTGGATGCATTCTCCCTCCCCACAAGTCAGAGCAAGGGTCCTCTCTCATCATGGCTTATGCTGCACTCTAGCTAGACATACCAGTCACCTGCTGGAGTCAATTCTCATACGTGCGTCTGTGCAGGCATGCGTCAGTCAGAAGCGCTCACATGAACCGCCAAAGAATTCCAATAAGTGTGCAGGTGAAGTAAGAAACGGGACAGTGAGCTCCAGATGCCTGTTGTTTTCGTATCTGGCGCCATTCATTACTGAGTGCGTGAAGCGCTAGCCTTGCTGTGCAGGTAACTAGAATAGATTACTGGCATGAGTTTCAGTGGTTTTGTGGCATGAATTTTAGAATCACGTGAAGCATTGCAGTATGGACACTGCTGTCTATAAAAAAAAATCAGAAATATTGTGCATCGAGACAACTAGGTTGGTTAACTTCGCTCGGTAAGTATACATTCCCTTTGAAGCATGGCTATACTCCGTCAAAATCTCTTTCTGTAAGTTTTGCCAGTGTAAAGATCAGTTAGCTGGAAATGTGTAAACCACTCGAACGACAAGACGGAACTCCCCCGGAAAATCTGGATCTGGTCTGGTTCTCAAAATTCCGAGAGCCTTCCCGTAGCCAAGAATTTGACTGTAGACGTCAAAGTCAATTGAACACTCCATCAACTGGCACTTGGCGAAATGGACTCGCACTTTGGACCTGCAAGACGACAGGGCTCTGGTCGCACACATTAAGAGTGTGATATCCGTATGCCATATAATCCCCTGTGCTAACCGGTACTCCATCAACCCCTCCATATGTGCCGTGAACAATCTGGTCTTTTGTGAAAGTCACGAGGTAGCCTCCGATTTGAGCGTCACGACATGCTGTACGAGTGTTTCCAGTTTGAATCCAGCTGTTGTAGACTATCTCATAGCGAACGCCTTCGTGAAAACGAAACAGATTCATTTTTGCATTCTCAAGAAAGTATTCGTTTTGCTCATTTGGTTGGGACTCGGAAAAATCGAGACCGTACGTTTCATTGTAGAATTTTACGGCATCGTCAAAAACGTGTTGAATGTCAGCATCTCTGAAGCCCAGGTCGGTCTTGAAAAAGGTCTGCTCTGGGTCACTGATGAGCCTCTCAGTACCAATTCTCTGGTCTATCACTGCAACAAACGTGGCAGTAAAGTCAGGGACAGAAATCATGGTGGCAACAACAGAGTGAGACTGGAAATTGCAGGCTGAATACGGCAACGAGAAGACTGCAAATCTTGAAATCCATTATTTCCATCTCAATATATGGAAGAATCCTAATTCAGCACAAGAGTTAGTTAAGACACGAAAAGTCTTAACATGAACACCGCGTATGAGCTCACACACACGCACACCTGAACAGTTTAGCTCAGGCTATTTTTATACCCAACCTAGTAAACCACATCAAAAGACCGTTTTATCAAAGGCCTTATTCATACAATCACAAAAGTCAACCAGCAGATGGTTGACTTTCCTCCACAAAAAGGTCACGGAGCCATTTCCTCTGCCACACTATTGCTGCTCATCATCAGTTTTACCCTAAACCCTGTTGTCAGGGGAACTTGTGCCCCAAGGGCCAAGGCATTGGGAATGTTGATTCAGTGTGGCCCACAGGGACTTCTGTAAGTGCTGATAAAATTGTGAGGTTGATGGTTGGATTACATTGCATTCTTCTTCCCCACCAGTTGAACAATAGACTTGCTCCAATCCCATAGTGGCTCTAAAGACCTTTTTCATCTTGTCCACTGGGAGTTCATATTTGGACTGTGTCTACATACTGAAGCCTGTATCACAATCAGGCTGGTTGATACGCTAGAGCCTCTGTATGTGTCAGCAGGCTACAAGGCAGGGGCAAACCACACAATTACCACTATACCCTGGACTGGCAGTCCAACTCTTTAAGAGCTGCCCTGAGTGGCGATTTTAACCGATGACACTCTGCTGCCGTATAGACCAGCTGAGCTCCCATGACTCCGCGCGCATTTATGGGACTCTGCCAGAACAAGCTCTCTTCTATGACCCTTTTGTTGCTTCCAGCAGGTGGGAATAGATCAGTGTACATATCCTGGATGAAACTGCAAGGATGTTATATGCTATCAGTTGCATGTATATACCCAAGTCTGGCTTTAGGAAGGTCTTAGTAAAGAGTCAGAGCACCAATGCATTATGGCAGCCTAATTGCCCACCCTCCATCCCTCCTTCTTCTCCTCTGTTTTGAAGTACTCTCTGTCTACCCCCAATAAAGTATATAAAACTGCACCTACACACTAGAAGGCATCTGACTCCCCACGCTGGGGTCAGGGGGAGAAAACGTGACATGGCTATTGCTTGTAATGTGGAGCTCATTCACACATTGGTCTGTGCATTCATTTGCACGGTTTGCATCCGCGCACTTCTTGGTCTGGACCTTGGAAAACTCACTGCTAGTCATGTTACTGTCGAATATTATGCAGAAGAATTGTTACGCATCAACGTTTTCCTTTTACTCTAGCTATATAGAGATAAAATACCAGTGATCTGCTGGGCCTTGGCAGAGGCTTGCAGAGACCTCTTCTCAAAGTCAGTCATGGGGTAAGACACGCCCACCTCTCCAATCACCCCACACCTCACTCCAGTCCCCTCCACACCCTCACTCACCTCCCTCACCATCACATCACACAACTGAGGGGTGAGAACATTAGGATATTAACCCTCTGAGAACGTGTTTTTTCTTGCAAATATCCGTCCCAAGGTAAATGTGCACATTCATGTATATAATATAGTAACCTCACGCTACACTTTTGGTAGTTGATCAGGCTTCATGTAATATACTAACAGATCCACTGACCTCTTGTACTGACAAGAGTTTGGCATCTGGAGGTACAAATGCATCAACATAGTAGCTGGTCCCCACGATGATATTGACACCTGACTCCTTGGAGATACGTGGCAGGTGCTCCGTACTCTGCAGTGAGAAGTTTATCACACAAATTATAGATCACCAACAGGCAAATACCATTATAACGAATGCAACACAACGCACGCGAGTAGTTAATTTCTTTGCCGTGCGTATTTACATCACACACAACATTACGGCGTGTGTAGTTACGACTACGAAATACGGTTAGCGATATTTGCCCAGGGACTCCACTTAGGCTGGAACTTGATGTGAGCAATGTGGCAGTATATAAGGGGTAAATTTAAATTGCATTCTTGCACTCTACCCTATTTTTTCGTTCTATCTTTAGTATGTATATTCAGCCTTTACGTACTCACACATTCCTTTTAATTGAATGTGGGAGTATAATAACGAAACCTAATTGCACATTTCTAAATTTAGCCCTTCTGACACTAAATATATGCCTGGAAAAAAGCATATAATGGTCTATGGTGTGTACCAAAAGAAAATAAAAGCTGACACGAAGGAAAATTACAGAAAACTCTAGCGACACGGTACTGCAAGATATACAGCAGTTCTCACTCGTCTTATTCCAATAGAGGTAACATCGACTATGGTACTACCACCGGCAGCCTTGAACAGTTTCAGTTCTTTAGTGGTCTGATCAACATTGTCAATGGTGAGGTTTTCACGTACACTGTACCTGTGGGCCACAGTAGACAGCCAACAGACATCAGGACACTAAGTACACAATAACTGTATTTAGGTTGAAATATTAGGTGGCTAAGTGCGCAAATTTGTAAAATATTAAGTGTAAACACAAGGCAAGTGCTCAAACAATTCAACGACACCCAGGACAAAACTTAAAAAAATAGCTGACTCAACGCATTGTGATACCCGATGAGTGCTGAGCTACCAGGGAGGGGGCACTCAGCAGGCTGTGCTCCAACGGACATCACAGCTGTTTATACAGTGTTTGTGACGGGGTCAGTACGACATACGGGAACTGGCGTATCTTGCCAAGGTTCTGCATCTCAAGCTTCAGCATCGCCAGCTCGTCAGCCCTGCAGTAGCCAGGGTCCATGGTTGCATCCGTGAAGTCCAGCAGGAGATGCTCGTGAGGGAGAGTCACTCCTAGCTGGCCGGGCTCCATCGGACCCAACACTGCCCACAAAAAAGGAGACAATAGCTAAATAGACCACGACTAGCTACTGTAGCCGGGCCCATGACGCCCTGTTACTGCGTTCGTCCGATGTATATACCTGTCAGAACCTTTCCTTTCACATCCTCCATCATGCAAGTGCGTTCCTCAAACCTGTCTCTCCCTTGAGCTCTCCAGCCGGCCAGACTAGACAGTGCGCGCTGCGCAGCGCAGGTCCCCCACGTGGGTGCTCATCAATTAGAGAACTCCAACCCGAGCCCTGCCAAGATCAAAGCCAAGATAGTGCGTTGTTTTGGCTATTGCCAGCCATTCAAGTCTTCGTTCTGTGTCTTCTAATCCGCTTTTAGCGGTGAGTCTTATACCCAAACACTCATATCCTCGTAAATATGTATAATAGCGACTTTGAAACACAATGAGTGCTCGTTCTTTCCGTTTGACGACAGGGACAGCGTGGTTGTGTCTACGCTAGTTGATCCAGGGAAGGACAACCCGTCATGAAGTGCCCACAGCTGTCTCCGACCCTCGTATGTCTCCTACTCTTGATTCCCCTCTGCTATACTGCTTCTGGGACCACTCTCAAGAACGTGAATACTGTCAGCGACTACAAAGCTTGAAGAAGGTCCTCAAGACGAGAACAAACGTGCTGGTACTGTTTGCAAACGGAGAGAAAAACGCAGAGAGCATTCTGCCACTCTTTGACAAAGTTGCTCACGAAGTTCGCGGACAGGGGACTCTGTTGTTTGTCGACTGTAAGACCAAGGACGGGAAGAAGCTGTGTCGCAATCTCAAAGTCTCTCCGGCAATGTATGAACTGAAGCACTACAAAGACGGAGTCTTCCACAAGGACTACGACCGTCTACTCCAAGAGAAATCGATGGTCAGCTTCATGCAGAACCCCGCGGCCGAACCTCCGTGGTCTGAAGACCCCACCTCGGAGGACGTGAGGCACATTGAGGGGCCGAGCGACTTTGAGAAGCTACTCCGGAAAGAGAAGAAGCCCGTTCTGACAATGTTCTACGCTCCTTGGTGCGGACACTGCAAGAGACTAAAACCAGAGTTTGCCGAGGCCGCGACTGAGCTAAAACGAGAGGCTGTTCTAGCGGGTATGGACGTGGACACACCGGATGCTTACGGTGTTCGCCAAGCTCTGAACATTACCGGCTTCCCGACCCTCATCTATTTCCAGAACGGTGCAAAGATTCACGATTACGCCGGGGGAAGGGACAAGGCGGGGATAATCGAGTGGATGCGCAATCCTCGCCCGGCAGACGAGATGCCACCCCCGCCCGACGCCGAGCCGGCCTGGAGCGAGACGGAGAGCGACGTCGTCCACCTCACGACCGACACTTTCGATCAGTTTATCGCAGACAATCCCTCTGTCCTGGTGATGTTCTACGCCCCGTGGTGTGGCCACTGTAAGGCAATGAAACCAGAATACGCTGAAGCCGCGGCCACTCTCAAAGGAGACGCCGTATCGGGTGTGTTAGCAGCCATCGATGCGACAGCAGAAACTGCACTGGGAGAGAGATACGGAGTGAAGGGCTACCCGTCCATCAAGTACTTTGGAGGTGGGCAGTTGAGGTATGACTATGGGTACGGACGAACCAAGGACGACCTTGTTGAATTTATGATGGAGCCCAAGGCCCCGCCCCCTCCCGAGAAAGATTGGACTGAGATTGAGAGTGAGGTATGTATCCTGTGTGTGTATGGGTGCAGTCATATTTGAAGGGGTCAGAGTCAGCATGGGCCAACCCTCAATATACAACTCTTGCCGGTTTTCCTTCAAATATTATGTCCTAAATGTTCTTATAGAACAAACCGGCACAGAGTTGTAAATTGGGGGTTGGCCCACTCTGGCTCTGACCCCTTCATTTATAGTACAGTGTACCCTTGTGTACATAGTCACGTTGGGGGCCAACTTAGCATTAAAATTCTGGTCTCTGGTTTTGGTGTTACAGATAGCCCACCTGACTGAGGAAGACTTCAAGCCGTTCCTCAAAAAGAAGAAGCATGCTCTTGTCATGTTCTATGCCCCGTGGTGTGGCCACTGCAAGGCCGCCAAACCAGAGTACACGAGTGCCGCAGAGCAGTTTGCAGACGACAAGAAAGTGTCGTTTGCTGCCGTCGACTGCACGTTGTACCAATCCCTGTGTACCCTGCACCAAGTCACGGGATTTCCAACCTTCAAGTACTTCAACTTTGGGAAGAAGGATTTCCGCTACAATGGAGGCCGGACTGAGCCCGATTTTGTGGAGTTCATGTCCAATCCGACCTCTGCTCGCGACGAACTTTAGAACACCTCTTGTCAAATTTTCCCTCAGTGTAGGTTATAATGACTGCAAATACGCTATACCAATCATACGGAAATCATAATAATATTGATTTATGTTCTTACTTGTGTTATGTTCTTACTTGTGCCTAAAAGATGTTCTGAGAATTGTCATAATAATTATGCGCAAAGCACCACGCCACCATTGAAAAACGCCATTTATACTGTGCCTGTATTGTCATTTTGATGGTTAGTAAATAGACAGACATTCACAAGCGCATTGAAAGGTGAAGTTCAAAATGTATTTGTGGCGTCTTTCGCTAGGCCCAGTGCTATCCCAAGAAGAGAACACCAATCAGGCACACGACAATTGGAACAAGGTAAATGGCCGCTGATATCACTGAACCTGGAATGTAATCACTGAAACATTCATGATTTAAAAATGAATTTATATACCTGATGAAGGAGAGGGGGTCATTGAATCTGGAGTAGGAGATGGGGGTCATTGAATCTGGAGTAGGAGAGGGGGTCATTGAATCTGGAATAGGAGAGGGGGTCATTGAATCTGGAGTAGGAGAGGGGGTCATTGAATCTGGAGTAGGAGAGGGGGTCATTGAATCTGGAATAGGAGAGGGGGTCATTGAATCTGGGGTAGGAAAGGGGGTCATTGAATCTGGAGTAGGAGATGGGGTCATCAAATATGCGGTTGAAGAGGGTGCCATTAGGGCTGAAGATGATACCATGTAGGACGAAGAGGTAGGAGTCACTGGATCTGAACAGTTATAGAAACAATAATCATAAGCCAATGGACCTGCCTGGGAAAAGGCATACGGTCTAACGGACACTCGCAAACCCCTTCCATTTTCCTGACACAAAGATCTATTTTCCCCCATGCTATATACACATTTTTGGCGAGTGAATGTGAGCAGTTCAATTTTTCACGCTTATAATTATAATATTATATAATATATACCTAGAACATTACGGTGTGCGGACACACTCACATAATATTATCCACATGAGGTATAATAAAGCCTGTTTCCTGAAGGTTTTGCTCACAATGTGGAATTTGAGGGAATATGTGTGCCAAATTGAGAAACTCATGTTAATGAAAACTTACTTACACTCTTGCACTTGGCACTGTTCCTATCTCAGTACATTTAGCCCTTATGGACTGTCACATTTACTTTTAACAAAGCAGAAAAGTAACAGCAATCACGCCTCAAAAATAATTATTACAACATGCAAAAGACTTGCCGTGTAATGTATATACTTACCAATGCTAACATTGACTTGTCCAATCTCATTGTATTGAGGTGTAGTTACATTGACCAGGTAGGTCCCGGCATCACCCTCTGTAGCATTGTCAACTATCAGATATGTCTCCAGACTGTAGAGTGATGAACCAACACACTCTGTGATTATACGACGAGTTATTACGTATGTGCGAACACGGTTACTCCGGATCCTTGGAGTATCGGGATGAGTATCATTCACACAGCTGCCCTAGAGTATGACACAAAAAACACGCCTCTCAAAATAAATTCGTAACCTTCACCACAACATTGGACATTGCAGTGGAAAGCTACTGTGCAACATTAATACTTCAAACATTAACTATGAGTAGTGACAAAGAGGGTATATGTATACCATGCATAAATGATGAATGATGCTCGAGAGTTAAACATACCTCATCACAAAAGGGATCCTCTCTTATGTGTTGATGGTATGCAACTGTGCCATGATGCCATGACACTATGACAGAAGGTGTACTGGATAGAATCTCTGCACGAATCACAATCTTCTCATTAGGTTCAACAATAAGAGGGGAGGAAGTAATCTCAGCAACCACTGGAGGTTCATTTGAGGCACCTGTAGAAGGAGTTAAACATATTTGCTTTGGTTATATATACCTAGGCCCCAGACAATAGTAATACCAACTAACCCCTTGTTGCAATTAATCGGACGAAGCTCACATCCCTGCAGTTATCAGTCTCAACGATACATGTAAGATAGGCATCTTTGAAAACCCAGTTGATGTTACGGAGTCCAAGGCAGGCTGGTTCTGAAAATCCACACTCTGTTGCCTATGAAGACACATGGTCATTGTTGACACGAATAAGGAATAAGTATGTCTCACAGTTGGTAGAGTCAGGGAGGTCTCCAGATTCAAGTTCTGAGCATCACATGTGCTCTGAAAAACTGGAGTGTTGTTATCATCCAGAGATAAACAAGTCTCAATGGTCCTGTTTACGTCGGCTATCCTCACACACCAAGTCACGTCCCCCCGACCAAAATTCGTGCAAGATGACTGACACCTTACAGTCGCAATAGCTGGTGAAAACAGCGAAGCAACCGCGAAAGTGTCAGTAGCTGCAAATGAAAAGCTCTAACTGGACAACAAGCTCAGAGGCAGCTACAGTACACTAACCTTCGCTGAAGATGCCGTGATTTGATCTTGTTTCATTCCTAAACTGCACTCCTTCCTCACGGGAATGGGAACAGACTGCTGCAATAACATCTTCCAGAGGACTGGGAGTGCAGTCTACCGCTGGATCTAGGGTAGGAGTGGGAGCCAAACTTACTTCCCTTCCATTTTCTTGACCACAAACAACAACTGTACATAGCCGTATCACAAATGTATGGGAATTTAGGAAAACGTATGTCCCCCTCTACACTACATACTACAATACTTTGTAATGCAACACATTTTTGGCGAGCAAGTCATACACAAGCGGCTTAAAGTCGGGTACAAAATGCCTTCCATTCAGACGACTAAGTTAGGCTGGGCTCACAATATGTCACATTGCCCTATCAGGCCGTGCTACGTCGCCGGGCCGCGAGGATAGATTCCATTTCTATCTTCCCAGCAGGACGCCATGCGGCACGGCAGAACAGGGCAATGCAACATATTGTGAACCTAGAGCCTTAGGGTCACCTTGCTTGCCACATCCTGCAACTTGTTCACATGAATAGTAAGAGTGGGTGAGAAAGAATAAAGGAAGTACTATAATTTTTTCTACATCCTATGTTCTACTACATCACTACACAACTTGGGAGCCCGTAGCTTGCTATTGCACATAGATTTCCTGAGCAAGTAAGCAAAATTGCATTGAAGAAATCACCCGTAAACTAAATACATTCACAAAATGCAACAGTGCTATTTTACCTACCGATGGTAACATTGACTTGTTCAGTCTCAGGCTCATTGTATTGAGGTGTAGTTACATTGACCAGGTAGGTCCCGGCATCACTCTCTGTAGCATTGTCAACTATCAGATATGTCTCCAGACTGTAGAGTGATGAACCAGCACACTCTGTGCTCATTGCACGAGCTGCAAGATATGTGCGAACACGGTTACTCCTTAGAATATCACTTCGAGGATCGTTATCTCTCACACAGCTGTCCTATAAGGGCACGAACAAAACTTGCATCACAAAAGACTATAAACACTGTGCCTCCGCACACTCACCAACACATTTAATTAAGTAATGTTGTGTTTGGAGCTACTGTGGAATATTTTACACAAAGCTGTAAAGGATCGCGAGAGGGTTTTGCTCACATTATTTTGACAATCGACATAGAGAGCTTTCAAGTTCATACACACAGTCATTCAACCAGATGAACATGAGATTGAGAGATAAGAGTTGATTATAAATAATATACACAAGTTCCTCTTGTGCATATTTTTTATAGTCAACTCTTATCTCTCAATCTCATGCACAGAAGAGCACAAGACAAGGAAACACTAAAGAACATCTAGTATCTCGTGCAGGTAGAGGAAGTGATGCAAGTGCAAAGGTAGTGGCGATATTCTATGGCCCATTTTATTATCGATCCATGTTGCCAGAAAGAGAACAGGGTAGTTGAATCCCTTGTATAAGTACTGGAAGAGCATGCAGCTATTGGTTCGGTCATACCTCATTACAAAAGGGATCCTCTCTGATGTGCTGATGGTATGAAACTGTGCCATGATGCCATGACACTGCGACTACAGATGCGCCAGATATTATCTCAGCACGAATTACAATCCGTTCATTGGGTTCAACCATTAGAGGGGATGAAGTAGTCTCGGTAACCACTGCTGGTTGATTAGGAATTGAAAATGCTGTAAAAAGAGAAATGATATTAATGTACTCAGACTAGCATAATAATATCACACTAACGAGGTCCAGTTAGTTGGGTGAAGCTCACATCCCTGCAGTAGTCTGTCTCAACGATACATGTGAGGTAGACATCTTTGAATATCCAGCTTGGTTTGGTAATTTCCAGACAACCAGAACTTGATCCACACTCGGATGTCTATAGGCTATTATGGTTATTGTGCAGAAGAATATAAAGTATGTCTCACAGTCGGCAGAGTCAAGGAGGTCTCCAGATTCAAGTTCTGAGCATCACATGCGCTCTGAAAAGCTGGAGTGTTATTATCATCCAGAGATACACAAGTCTCAATGGTCCTGTTTACGTCGGCTATCCTTACACACCAAGTCACGTCCTCCCGACCAAAATTCGTGCAAGACGACCGGCAATCCACCCGCCGTGAAACGTGTGGTCTATATTCTATCAGCCCCCAAAGGAAGAAATCAAATATACCTGCAACAGTGATACAAATTGCAGATCTGCCATAAAATCAGCACACTGGGTTAGGCTAACTGTCAGATCTGTCTAATACGCCGTGATCGGCTCTTGTTCTGCTCCTAAACAATGCGGCTTGCTCGGAAGAGGGGTCAAAGGCACGAACTGCTTCAGTGACATCGATCCAAAAATCTTCAGGACTAGCAGGACACGCCTGCGAGAGTCCTTCTACAGCTACTAGTAGCAACAACCACAATGACCGTAAAACTGCCTGTGGGAAGGCCATACTATGCTTTTGCATCATGGACTTGATCGTAGACAGCTCTGTCCCCAGGCGGCAGTCGCGTTTTATATTGTGCACGGAAAACAGCGAAGTCGTTCCAGTAATCAGTGTCAAAAATCGTACGCGCGCGCGGTCGATGAGGTCGGTCTACTTTACTGAGAGGTCGGTCCGCTTTACTATTAGAATTTAGAGGTCGGTCTACTTTACTAGTAGCGGTCGCTCAACTTCACGAAGAGGTCGGTCTATTTCACTTGAAGGTCGATCCGCTTTACTAGGAGGTCGGCCCACATTTTACTAGGAGGGCCGCCAATATGGGAGCAGCGGTGGTGGCAGGCACCGGGCCACTACACTTTCCGTCAGTCCTCGACCTCTACGCTCATCCGCTGCAAGTTTTTCTTGCGCCCGCCGTCACTCTAGTAAAGTGGACCGACCTAGTAAAGTAGACCGACACCTCATCGACCGCGCGTGCGCATCCGTCAGTACGTGAAGCGCAAATCTGCGCTATTTTCGCGCATGCGTAGGGATTTTTGAGAGGGTGGCGATATTATTTAGCTGATCTGAGCGGCTGTTGGGGGCAATATCAGTCACATTATGTCAAGACCGGGCTCTATAGTTACCTCTCTCGAGCACTATGGCAGAATGCAGGTCATCAGCATAAGGTAACTGCATTCCTTCAGATCCACGGCGCTGCTGTAGGTAGCCCCGTTTCGAATATCGAAAACGGGCAACCAATGAAAGCACAGACACCTTGGATCCAAAGGAATTACCAGGCTACACAGGCTGCTCAGTCTGGGCTAGGGCTAGGCTGTTCGCGTTCTCACTTGCTGCTGCCCCGATGGAACCACGTGTGCGAGTCTGTTTGCGCATGCGTGGCATTTGCGCAGGGCTGAGACCCGAGACAACGACATTTGCCCTCTCCCCTTTCCCTGACTCCCATAAAACACCCATTCAGTGTACTGGCCCTTCACCGCTCAGTCGTTGCACAGTGCACAATAATTATCGTTTCCGTTAACGGATGCAGTACAAAAGAATTTGCCGAGGATAATTTCGGCTGAAGGGTAAAGTGTAAGTGTTCTCCGTCATGCGTTAAATGTATGTATTTTTCTACACCGTCTAGCCACTGCAAGACCTTGTGCGACACCACATTGAGTCCTTTGATTTCATGTTGGAGAAGGGCATCAGCTATGCTGTCCAGGTATGGACTGTGTAGTATAATACAGCTGGTGTATAGTGCCCTAGTGATGGTGTTAGGAGCCCAACAGCTACCGCCACCAGGAATATGTGCATGGCTATATATTTGTTCCTTGTGTTCATATTGGTTGTGGTTTATACAGGACTGCCGACTATGGAGATGCTTGATCTCTGAGCAGGAAATCAGTTTTTCATTGAAGTGCGATGTTTGTGAACAACTATATATATAATTAATCAAGACACGTTTGTTCAATTAGGAATGTGCAGCTAGTATAGGGCTTCCGTACTAGTTACTCCCTGCCTTTGTAGTATGCTACTATTGGCAGGCGAAGCATCTTGTCATCTCAATAGCTTGATTTTTCCAAAGGCCAACGTACACGATGCAAACTTTGTTGTTGTGTGGGACACAAAAGTCTCATGTTATATACTTCAGTGTGTGGGAATGCAACATTGTTATTTGAGCTCAATATACATACCAACTCTTTGTGCGCAGTCTCTTGTGCATCACCTAATTTCAGGAATGAAAAGCACCAAAGTGCGACGACCCTTAGCACACTATGCGATGCGCAATATACTCGGTCACACTTTACATTTAATGACAGGATGCGCGTCTATAGGTCACCCCACTATTCCAGAGACCACGTCTACTCGCGGTCAGTCAAGATATTCCCCGCAGAGTGTCGCGAGGGTCCGCTCCATACAGCCAAACTGTCGCTCACTCTCAGCTGGAAGGTCGACGGAAGAAATGCGGCACACTAGACAAAAGTCGTGGACATGTCCACCTATCATGGTCAAGGTAATAAGGTCCTGTTTACATCTCTTACACGAGTGAGCGTTCTGTATGATTTTTAAGGAAACTTAGAATCAGGATATTGACAATAAATTGGTGTATGTATTACCGCGATTACAGGTAAAACGTAAGAGTAGCCCCATAAAAGTACCTAGTATCATAAAACAATGTTGAAAGGCAACAACAACTCTCTAATGCACCTTCATGATGTGATTGGTGCCCAGGCCTTCCATTTGATCTTTTGTCATTAATTACCCTTGTAGGTGGGAATTTGTTTCGTTACTGTAAGTCTGTTTCCTGCCTCCACATTCTAGCCCACTCCTGCTCCAAACATTGTTAGAGCAGTCACTGCAGAATGGCCAACTGACACCAGAAGAAATGTCCGACACCATGAAGAAAGAAGAGGTGGGCTCTTGTACCATTGTCATGTACATCACGTATACTTGAAATATAGACCAGTTGTGTAACGTGGCAGTAAAGAATTTTTGCTTTTTTACGGCTCATGTGTATCCACTGTTGTTTTGTGATATGACATTTGATAGTATGAATAAGGGCCAAATTGAGTAAACCCTGATAAAAAAATGGTTTCATTCACTGTTCTGCCATCTTGCAATAGTCCTTTTAGCCCAGTGGTTTGTATACAATTACGTATGATCGACCCTAGAAATGGAGGATATCGTTATCACGGACGAGAGGCTGATAGGATGCTGATAATGCAAGAAGAATTACGTGAGTGCGAATTAACTAAAGTATGGTCACAAAGTAGATACATAGGCCGACGAGGGAAGAGGAACTTCGGCCACGAATGGGTTTCTCCTGTATCTGGCCCTCCGTAGCACATAGTACCATTATGTGGCCATTCAGATAGTTGTGAATTGTGTGTACTCTGTACTCTATCATCTCCCATCTGCCCGCCGATGCCATATCTCGACCGTCGTGGTAGGACGGGGAGCTCTCTACACCGAGTATGGCGTTCCAGATACGGTGTGTGCAGGGAGAGGACCAGAGCAGCTCTGCTGGGTGACCTACTCCCTCTCCTTCCCTCTCAGCTCTACTCCTCCATCTTCCTTCTTTTACTCTCTCCCCTTTACTCTTTTCCCTGCGCCATCCGTTCATCTACCCAACCATCTCTACTCTCACTTCTCCATCCGTAACGTTTATTCCCACCCCTCTTCCTTCTCTGTACACTCCCTGGTTGGACACCTAACTCCCTCCTTCACTCAAGTTGGTCAACACTTGAGTGCTATACAAACACATACTACTACTATGCAGACAGAAAACATGGTTCACCTTTGTCCTGTAACGCTATAGTCCATAATTACTGAAGGAGTGTGTGATACACTGGCACAAGGGCTGATGACGCTAGAGGCGACGGGCGGACAGAGTGCTCTGTGAAGCTGTCTCTTTCTTTCTGAGGCTCAGCATACTAACTAGAGTCGGCATGCAACATAGTATGAAATTTTATCTTAACTGGCCACGTACGTACATGAGAACTCCAGGTATACACACATGACTGGGAACGACTGCTGTCGGGAGTCAAACTCTGGCGTCGTGACAGGATGTCCCTAAAACTACTGAAAACGGGGAAACTACAACAGCGGGGAGTAATAGCTGGTCTTCCTTGTGACCGCATGGGTTGTGTCATCCTCATAAAGCAAAAATCAGCCTATCTTGTTTTTTAGACTAGTCGATGTTGTTTGTCTTTCTTTGTTCGAGACTCTGACCCTGCACTATCTAACCGATGGAAGTATCGTGACTCAGTTCTCCAAGAACAAGAGATGTTTTTTGTCCCTCTGCGTCTACATCTGAGGTGGGTTTATACTGCCGTGTTGGTCTTGTTGGTCAAGAAAAAGGTTAGTGAAGTGTTGTGAAGCACCTACGTGGAGTTTTCGTAGTAACAAAGGCATAAACGATACTCATAACTCATGTGTGAGCCTTCCACTTTCCTCTGCACGATCACACTGATGTTATGTAACACGTTTCACCCTGTCAGTGCCACGAAAATGTTATACGTAATTGGCAAAGCATACGTATTTGCATGCACTGCACAGTGCACAGTTCATGTGGCAATGACGTGAGAGGAAGGTTGTATCGTACAAGTGTCTCTATTTGGCTCCAGGCTCTGCTTGTCAACTACTGACCAACACATCTGCAAGGAACTGATGAAGAACAACACAACAACACTTCTTGAAAGGGTATGACGTCATTAATTGCAACAGTACAGTATAGGTAGTAGGTGCAGTGACATTGAAAACAAGACTTGGATATATATGTATCCTTTCCCGTAATTCAGCAGTATTAGCATATTTTATAGTCCTGTGATGTTACCTTACGTTCTGTGGAGTAGAGTATGTAGAGTATAGTCATCATGATTTTGGTTAATGATGATTAAAGAGACGGGCGGACTGCAGTCAGTCATGTCGATTGACGATCGTCTCTGTGAACTGAAACATACAACACTATAGAACATTTACTATGCAAAGTGAGGTGTATTGTACTTGTTGTCTGCCATATTAACGGTATTGTGCTTTGTCTGAGATTTTATCCCTGCCTGCTGGGTGGGTGAGTGCTCTTCGTCAATGGCAAGAAAGTAGTAGTTGAATGAAACAGTTATTGTCTGTGTTCCCTGCCGTTGCCTGGCCGGCTTTGCCCTGATACATACCTCATGCTGTGACTACAGTACAGCACTCTCTTGCTCTGTGTATATACTATGGCAGGTACTGACTGTTGCTGTGCTGTGTCAGATGTGTGACGGCCCACACTTCGCGGACGGCATGGAAGATGGTGCTGCTGAACCAGAAGACTGCCTGAGTTTGGTTCATAGGTCAAGGTTCAGGATCTCAGGCCGAGCCTGCCCGACTGTGGTCCCGCATGACATCATCACTAACAACTCCTCAAGTAACCCATGGTTTCTGTATACAAATTGTCATCTATAGAAGTGCGTTTTCGAGCAGACGTGAGCAGTTCAATTTTCGTCTATTACTGCAGTACGTACTCTGCTGTGACGACAGAGCGAAATGCAATGCATTTTGTTTGTCAGTGAAATGGCTGTGTGTGCAAATAACGTTCTCCAAAGAGCCTGCATGTGATAATAGCTATAATCTGCCCACTTGTGGGCTTGTCTTAGAGTTTAGTTGGAACTGAGTGACAACGCGTACACATGCAATGCACCACACAGCGCCCGGCATGCGCAGTAGCAATCTGACCACGTGCATGCTGACGTGTCATTCGTGAGCAGAGAGAAGTGAGCGTGCAGATCTTCCTGCATACCCACCTCCCACCTCTGTGCATAGTGTAGGCAGCCCTGATTCTCGTTGGCTGGCTTCAGTCCTGACCTAGGGGGCCTTCATCAAGACCCCCCAAAACAGGCAGATTGTGCGCACAAGAGAAAAACTGCATTCTCTGACACCACCAGAATAGTTTACCTTACCAAAAGTATAATGAGCAGTTTGCTATGTGAAGTTTTGTCTATAGAGTATAATTTGTCTTAGGGAATTGGTTGTTGTTAGTTCATTGGACGGAACGTCGACAAGTTCAACCTACTGATGATGTCCACTTTATGCCCCTTTCTATAGAAGGGGCACCCACCATACTAACTAATTGTGTGTGTTCGTCCTCAGATTCATGGCGAGGAAACTGGATGCCTTTGCCGGTGGGAGTGTAGGGATCGGAGGGGCACCCTGACTCCCCATGCCACCCGGGAGATCCTGTGGGGGAGAGGACATTTCTCCCTCATGGTCATCAAAGGTATGCCTGGCAGGGCATGTCTTGCACTGTATGCCTTTTTACTAAGCTGCTGTAACACTCTATATATAAGCAGAATTCTGTCCATTGGCGTTGCGTGTGTGCGGCAGTCAGCACTAGCTCAAGTCTGCTTTTGCGTGCCAGTAGGTGATAGCGATTACCAATCCCCCAATGTGCGCCTCCCAGGTAGCTAGTTTTGCTGTACATAATGTACAGCACATTACACCTCTTCAAACAGGTTGGAAGTTGTATATAGTACTTTGTAAAAAGTTTGCTAGTTCTACTTTGTGTAGTGATGTTGTAAGTCATACAATGGTTTGGTGGACAAAATGGGAGTGTGTGTTTCCACAGGAAAAAAGATGCTGGAGTACTGAGAGAATATCTACAAAATAGGAGCTGGAGAGGACTGCAAAGCAGTCGGCTTGACTGTTTGACTCCACACTAGGTCAGCCTGGTCTCCTGGCATTGGCAGAGTGGGGGAGAGAGGGGAGGTAGAGGGAGAGATGCCACTACTTCACAGTATCTGTGTGAAGCTCGAGTCCGAGCGTCTGCCTTGACTTCCTCCACCGTGATCTTTACGCTGTCCTTGCCGGCGCTCTCAAACACACTCCGGCGATGGATAGTGGTGACGATCTCTCTATGGTAGTATAGTACATTAGGATAATGCAGTATGAACCTCAAGTATTGGGTGTGGTCTGATGATAAGCCACCCACACACTGATCCTGAGGTAAGCGGTTCGATCACCAGTCTGTGGCAGTTTTTAATATATTAGTGTTGATATAAGATGAATGTTTTTCGCACCTCTCGTGGCCAGCCCAAGTGGCAAAGTGGTTAGAGACCTGGGGACTGTCACACATAAGGTGCACGGTTTTCGAATCCCGGACCCGCACTGAAACTGACAGGGGTCCAGAGCATTGGCTGGACAGCTCTGGTTCCTCCCATTACCCACGAATCTACCACTGGCCACTCTTTCTCACCCAAGGGCCCCAAGCGTGTAGTTCGGCATAGCACTGCGTCCGTAGACGTACTGTTGCGCGAGACTGGAGAGATGAGAGCGGGGCTGGCCCAAAATCATTTTTTCTAACCTTACATCAATTTAAATTGTTGCCTAAAACAATCCATGGATGTCGTGAAAAGGTTCACAACGTTCGTTTTATTTTTTAGTGCATGGCTCCATTAATGAGTGGAAAGGTGCATGACATTAGCGCCAAAGTTTTAATGTACAGGCCACGTACCCCACAGGCATCCCGTCCCAGCGCATGTGTAAGACTCTCTCAACATAACTCTTTCGATACACATACTACAATCTTAGGCATTACCATATTAATGTGTACATAGCGAGAGTATGTTTATTGACTCTCACCTACCAATCTGCTGTGCGCGCGCTTGCTAATAATGTCAGAGTAGTGCAGTAAATCGACAATGCATAGCCCAGCCATCAGTTGGTACCAACCATGCATGTGTATAGGTTTACTGTGTGGTTGCGATATATTGTACTTATTTATTCAATAGTGTCATTGATGCCAAAAGTCATGAGGAAGACAGTGGACATTGGACACGAGATGGAGTACATGTTAGCCACTGGGAACCTCCGATCTCGTAGTGGCCTTGGTCTACAACAGGTAGAGTACAGCAGTGCACAGTCATACGTATGTAATGCCAACATTATTACTTACATAATACTCTTTTCGTCCATAAAAATTGCCTTTTAAAACCCTTTGGGCGCCATAGATGTCTTCATTAACCCTCGGCGCGCATGCGCATGCAGCGAGGGTTACGGTACTTGGGTCTGTCTGTCTGTCTGTCTGTCCTTCTGTGTGTCTGTTACTCGACTTCTCACTTCTCAGATGTTTTTTCGTCTCACAAACCATACTACCTACTCAACGGGCAACGAAGGTCAGAAAATTTGCGGGGTTTTCTCTGAAAATGCTCCCGTTGCAAAGCTAGAGAGCGAAAAAGCCAATATGCAAATACACAACGGCTTACTACGGCCTTGATCGATCCGCGTGCTCTGCGTACCTCGGAGGCACCAGAAGATGCAACGCAGGGCGTATATCGCCTCTCGCATGCTATCTAGTAGTGTAGTTAGCCCGCGTCAGACTCTGCGCGAGCTGGCAAGAGACCACGTTCAGCTAAAACTAAACCCAGCCCATCAATTAGTGGTACGGCGCATGCGTTTACTTACGCGTGCGCGTCACAGTGCGCCGAGGGTTTGCACTTCAGTGCTTTTCATTAAATAAGCAGAAATTGATGTACGGTATTCGGTCAAAATACTATCGAGTTGCAGATTGACACACCACAAAAATTCCCATACAAGTGTCAAGATCAGGTAAGCAAATGTTATCAAGTGTGCTACAAGTCACACACAAACATGCAGTTGACATAATGGACAGCAACTGTATAGATATGTGCTTGTACTATGTACTGCACTTACACCCTGTGCAAACATGTACAAACGTACTTCAATTCACGTGTATTATCATAATTACTGTAAAGACGTGTTGCGTGTGACGTGTACGTATGTGTATGTACTCATCCATATCTGTACCTGCACTGCTTAATCCACATGTAAGATGCACAACAGCTGTACATCTTACATGCTTGATGAGGTGCAAAAAATGCAGCACAGAAGTGTGAACAAAACCTACTCCATATGTACATACATGTGTATGTACTCATCCATGTGCACATCTGTACCTGCACTGCTTAATCCACATGTAAGATGCACAACAGCTGTACATCTTACATGCTTGATGAGGTGCAAAAAATGCGCACAGAAGTGTGAACAAATCTACTCCATTGTAGTCACTGCACTGACTGTACAAACACTGCGTAACCAAAAAATTAGTCACCTTGGCATAAACATGCAGCTGTCAAGAAAGATAGGGTAATCATCAAGTAGGTTGATAAATTTTTCACCTCTGGCATGAGGCTTATAAAAGGCAAAGCTGGACTGGCAGTAGAGCAAAGCAGAGGGAGAGAGCAACGATCAAGCAAGAAGAGGAAAGAGACACCAGCAAGCCAGCAAGGAGATAGACGACCAGCAAGGAGAGAGACGACCAGCAGGAGAGAGACGACCAGCAAGGAGAGAGACGACCAGCAAGGAGATAGACGACCAGCAAGGAGAGAGACGACCCGACAAGAGAGTAGACCGACCAGCAGCAAAGGAGAGATAGCACGACAGCAGGAGAGAGAGAGAGACGCCCAGGCAAGGAGAGAGACCACAGCCAGGAGAGAGGACCACAGCAAGGAGAGAGACAACCCGCAAGGAGAGAGAGAGACGAGGACCGGCAAGGAAGAAATGGAAGAGATGACGATGATACATTAGCTGTCAGATTTGAGGATAATCATTCAACAGAGGTGGGATGGGAAGAGGTGGAGGTTCCAGGGAGACGGTGGTCAGGTTGGGGGAGTGCGACGGACGGCGGAGGGGTTGGAGCGGGGACAAGTCCACTGGCCGGGGAGCGAAATACGACGGGAAAAATTGAGTGAAAGTGTGTGTCTAGCACCGCGGTGGTAGGTTAACCATGGACCCTGAGGCCAGACTTTTTCGCACGTGACAGTTCCGACGACATCGCAGACCCTCCCGTGGAAAATATACGGTGCCCCTCGGTGAAGGGATGGAAACGATAATGCCAGGTAGTGTACTAATATGAGGTGATAAAGTAATTAGGGTACATATTTGCACTGAGGTATGTACGTGTGCTGTACCGTTTCTCCCAATCGTTGCACTTTTAGCAACCATATCTCAAATGAGGATGATGAATGTTGAAATTACAAAGATGGAGATAGCGAGTGAGAGTTGGTTCGACGTCAGCAGTGTCGCAGCAGGGTGTTCGTCAGCAATTAGCCACTCGCAACCCAATGAGGGCGGAGGATGCTGTGGAGACCATGAGACCACACACACAGCCTCCCAGCCCCCCTACGCATGCAACAGTTTCCTCCGCCCCCACTCACTACCAATCCCGTCTCCCAGTTACACTCATTCGATTCCCCCACTCTGAGCTGTCCAGACCCTTTTTCTGCCCAAGGGGGATACTTGTCCTGCCTCCCAGACCCTCCTCAGGGCCTCCTCCCCAGACAGTTTTGCTCCACCTCGTCCACCCCCACCCTCTCCCACTCACCAGAAACTTCGTCCATGCGAAGAGATGTTATTGAGTGAACTAGAAAAAGAATGTGTCTACGGGAGGATGTGATGGCGCAAGGAAAACTAAGTGAGGAAGGCCTTCACCACATCCGGTACACCCTGCGGTAAGTATGCTTGTATCCATACAATGGCAAAGAATATACGTATGTATATTATTCTTTGCAGCGTCATCTCCCCGACATGTCCGACATGGAGTTTAAGAACTTCTACTGGAAGCCAGCCCTCTGTGCAATGGCAGAGGGCTTGGTGGACGAGCAAAGAAGAAAGGAAATGGCAGCCAGCAGAGAAGTGGACAGTGAACTTTTTAGCTACATAGACAGCGAACTTTTTATAGCTACGTACATACACACCACATATGTTAACATGCACTTCATTTATTACGTACTTATTACTTCACTGATTTGTGAGTCAACTTTTGCTTGCTTTGCATGTGCCAAACATCAATAGTGTAAAAAAATCATCAACACCACCAAGTGTGTAAGTGTACATACACAATATTCAGTATCCTGATGCCTCTCCCTGGCATTCAATCACTTTTGGGATAACTTTCTTTAAGTGTCCAATGTATTTCTGACACTTTTGTTTACTAACTTTTCCCCAAAATTTCTTAATTCCTTCCAAAAGATCAGCTTTGTTTTTTGGCTTGATCTCTCTACGAATGTCACCTCACGTTCCATGCATCTTTTAAGCACCAACTGCAAAACAATTTTGTAGGCGGATTTTCAAGAGGTACCTAGGCTTATCATAACACATTTTTGGAGATTAGCGAGCCATCCATTAACATAAAAAAATGGAGCCTGGCAAACACTGCAATTATGGCATACTATAGTCAGTGGTGAATAGAAAGGAGGTGGGAGCAAACCATGTGGCACGAGTAGCTTTTGGCCATGGATAAAGCATGCACACAGCATTGTCTTGGACAATGAATGCAGTTCATGCCAGAGATTCTCAATGGGATTAAGATCGGGAGACTCTGGTGGTGTCTTCCACCACTCAATCCCATTGTCAGCAAAGAATTCCCTGGCACATCTGGAGGTGTGTTTGGGGTCGTTGTCCTGCATGCATGTTACCGTCAGGGTAGAGCCTTCGTGCAGACGGTATAAGTGCCGCTCTTAAAATTCGCACGTATAATTGTGCATCCATTATTCCATCAAACATCACCAGATCTGTACGTCCATTCATACTAATACCAGCCCAAACGTGTATTTTCACAGGATGTTTTGGTCTGAAATATACATAAAAATAAAATAATTAACACAGTTGTACAAATACATATGTAAGGTTACATGTACGTACTATGTACATGTACATTCATACGTAAACGTTAGGTGACATACACATACGTACTTTGGTTTTGGACGTGGCTTTTCTCCACACTTCCTGTGGCTAAAGCGACGGTGATTTTCTAGTTGGACTGTGGTCTCATCGGTCCATATCACATTGCTGCAGTCATTGTTCTGATTTTCCATACACCAGGATAACCTTTTTAGCTTGTTTGGCTCTCTGATTAGCTGACAGTAAGCTGCTCCACGGTAAGTCCACCCGAGTTTTCGGTGACAACGCAAAATAGTGCTACGGGAAAGTTTGATGCCCTCTCTTTGTAGAATACAATCTAGCTCAGCAGCAGTAGTCTCATCATCTTTTTGCATTTGCTCTTCTATTACATCTTTCACTCTTTGTGTCACTTTACTGGGTCTCCCAGTTGAAGGCTTTCTGAGAACGCTTTCTCCTCTCTTCAGTTTTCGAATAAGAAGTGATGCAGACTTAGGAGAATAAGTGAGCCCTTCTTTAGATAGTGCCTTACTGATGGCAGTACCTTTAAGCCCCTTTGCTGCATAGAAAACAGCTCGTTGTTTGGTGTAGAGAAACTTCTCCATTGCCGTGCGTACGTACATGTATGACTTCGTATGTACACACGTGTACGTAACGACTTTTATGTGTACGCATGTACGTACCTACTACATGTACAAGATCAGATAAGCTACGTATGTAAATAATTAGCACAATTGAGGTTCAGTTGTACTTGCATGTCAATACAAGATAAAGGTGCTGAATTTTTATAGCTTATTTTGTTTAATACAAGTGCTGTGCAAATGATGGTGCAAATGTCCCACAATTGCTATCAGGTCACAAGGTACATTACAGAGCACTTGTACGCAATGGCAAAGAGCACAAAAACAATTGTTGTCAACTGAACCAGCACTTTTTTTGAACAACAATTGCGTTACCCACTTAACGACCCATACTGTA